GACAGGGTACCATCAATGAAGCATTTCATAAACTCAAAGTAACTAAGGGTTCGTTCTCAAGCCTATGCGTAATTAGATGTCATCTAATGCTGAAAGATGAACAGAAGTGGAGCTGCCACAGGATTTCTAAGTAAGCAAGTTCGTGGCTCGCCATCACGAAGAATTAGAAGTGCCAACCAAAGGAGAGGGCAGCAGAGCAGAGTCCACTGAACGAGAATCACTCCTGCAATGGAGAGGTCCTGGACGAGGGTAGCTGAAGGGGGGCTTGTGCATGTGTTTTCCCTGTGGGGCTGCATGCTACTCAGTTTATCCCCCTAGAAAACTAGTGGTAAATGATTGTTCACAGTTTTGTCCAAGAGCTTTAGGGTTCGAGACCATCATCTAGCCATCAATGTTTGCTCGAGTCTTTGAGAGCTTTGGACCCTAAAACCCATTACTGAGATTCCAGAATGTAGTGGATATGTGGACAAGGCCCACAGTTGTGGGGAACTGCTTTAAGACATGCTGCCCACTATTGGCAGCTAAGCCTTAAGCAGTTCCTTGTTTGAGCAAGGAACTCAGTTCCTTGATGTGAGCAATCAATCTCTAGCGGATGATTTTTAATGAAAGGTAGACAGGCGTGACTCCACCTGGGACCTAGACCCTAACAGTACGTGTGCTGCCTAGCCCCTATCTCAGAGACAGTAAATTCTGATAAACTTTAATCGAGATAAGCACTTCTAATGGCTTGATTAAATCTAGGGACATAAAAGCCCCTACCACAAAATAAATCACTGTACTTAAGGCTCAGTGGATAACCGTGTGATTTAAGATGAGTGGGGGAAATTTGACAAGCCCACTGAGCATGGATCAAAGACACATCAACTACTGGCCCTGAACGATTCGCCTCACCCTTGAAAGATCATGGAACGTAAGTGTGGGGTGCACGCAGTCAACTCCTACGTGCTGTTTCCGTCTCACATGCGAGGGACTGCAGTTCCCGTTGAGAATGTTTTCTTAGGGAAGGAAAGTGGCAAGTTGAGGAGCACAGTGTGCTTCCCCTGTAGAATGATCTTTGTTAAAGAATGTGAACAGACACTACCTCATTACCTCACTGACGGTGCATTAGGTTGGAGTTCTGCTGGGCTGGGAAGAATGTGGCATGGGGGTCCATAAACCTGCTTGAACCAAGTAACCTGCTGGGTTATCAGGATCGAAGTCCCGAACTTCTGAGCCAATGGTTTCCATAGGATGAAGGACATTAATACCAAGACCACTGACAGGATAAGATTGGTTGCCTTCAGTCATTGATAATATTTTTAAACTTCATAAACACATACAATTTCTTCGAAATTTTGTGGAAAATGTGAATCAGGGAAACACCATATGTGAATTTCAAAGCTATTTTTGCACCAATATAACTCGTCCTTTAATTCCATTTTCCAGGAACTTTTTGAAGTTTGAAGCCAAGACTAGACCCTGATTTGGTTCAAGGTTGAGGTCTGTCTTACCCTGCCGAGAAACTTGACAAGACCGTGTAGGTGAGAACATGTAGGTGCTCAGTAATAGCAATGGCGTACTCCTCACGTCTATACCGCTTGCATAGAAAGGAAGCTGGTCCTGAGGACTGAGGGGCGGAAAGTGAGGGTGTGCATCGTGCATGTTTGGAAACACAGGAGCATCACCCAGCCTTCAAGAGCCCCTTTTCCTGAAGTGGCCTTCCTGCTTATGCAGGGCCTGTGAAGGGTGCTTTCATGAGCTGGCCTTTGGGTCTAAAAGCAGATCCAGTCTCCACTGCAGAGGACCCACATTCTATGGGAGGAGGTGCATTTGGACACTCTGCACTCCATCCCGCTGTGGAAGGGAGAAACTCTCACTTTCCAACCACCTCAAAAACAAACCACACATTAACTGACTCTATAATGCAATCATTTTGGAAAATGATTAGGAAATGAATGTAGGTTGATTTCCTCTAGAAACTCGCCAAGTAAGAATTGCTCTCTGTGGGTCACTAGGTGATTTGCAAGTTCTCTAATTGCCTATACAGCATTCTTTAGGATGCTGAGTCAAGTATTCATGGTGTGGCAGCAGCTGAGAAAGCCAGTGGGGCCTGTGACTGCTGACACTCACGGGGAGGCAGAGCGGCACTGCTCTAAGAAACTGGCTGGCAGGTGACAGGTGTTGCCAAGTAACTCACTAGGCTTCTTTCTATCAAATAAAAATATACAAGGACAGGTTCTGAAGTTCATAAAGCCTTTACACAAATGCAAAGCTATATGATCCAATGCTTATTCTAATCAAATACTATTTATTGGAGCAGTGGGCCCAACCTTTCTGGTACCAGAGAGCAGCATCGTCGACAGGGGCTGGGGGTTGGTCCTGGGATGACCAATGTGCACCACATCCACCACACACCCCATTTCCACCACCACCACTCTGCAACAACACTGACACAATCACACAACAATAGGGTTCACACTCCCACAAGAATCAATACTGCCATGATCCAACAGGAAGCGAAGCCCAGGGAGCAGTGCGAGTGTGGGCGTAACTGCAGACACAGATGAAGTCTCGCTCGCTCGCCTACCACCCTCCTTCTACTGCGCAGGTGGGGGTGTTCCTAACAGGTCACAGACCAGCACCGGTCTGAGCCCAGGGATGGGGACCTCTGTAGTAGAGGACTCTAAGGAGAAACAGATCAAGTCAAGTGTGTTCAGTGCAATCCACAGAATCATGTAGGGTTTATACAGGTAAGAAGAGAAAAGGAAGAAAAGTATGATTAAAAATTAAGTTCTCTCTCTTGGGGCCAGCAGATGACATAATATTTACGTTGCTGGACTCCCACATAGTGAACCACAGTTCAAGTCCCAGACCTGGGGACTTAAAACTCATGCTTGGCACATGTATGTGTGTGCCCAAGATCCCGAGAGAAGAATGAAGGAGAAAGGATTGTGATGTGGCCATCCCCTCTGGGAGGTGATTTCTCGCTTTCTGTTTCTCTTTCTCTCTCTCTCTTCAATGAGTACACGAGCCTTATGGCAAAAAAAAAAAAAAAAAAAAAAAAAAAAAAAAAAAAAAAAAAAAAAAAAAAAAAAAAAAAAAAAAAAAAAAAAAAAGAAAACCAAAACAAAACAAAACAAAAACAAAATCTCTCTCAAAAACAAAAGAAATTAAAAAGTTAAAAAAAAATTAAATCCTCCCTCTCAAATTAATTTTCCATGTACAAGGAAGCCACTATTTTTTTTTTCTGAATGAAGTAAAATGGAGGCTCCCTGGGTCACATCGGAATTATAGGATTTTTACATACGTCTCCTCACTGCTATTAGAACTGTCTACTTACTACCGTCTCTGAAAAAGGCAGCCATGTTTTTCCCTGGGAAGCTTTTAACATGAAAATTGCTAGCTTTGCTAACACCATGATTTAAACATTTTATTCTCTGTTTATAAAGGGAAGAATTAACATCAAGCACAGTGTTAATTTTTCTAGATTACTTTTTTCTGTTAACCTGTCAGTTTTCCTTTTTTATTATTTTTAAAAGTTTGTTTACTTTCTGAGGGGAGAGGTATCCTTGGCAGGATCTTGTCATGCTGTGGCCCTCCCCCAGCCTCCCAGGCAGCCAGTGACACTGGAGTGGCAAGCCTCCCTGAGTGGTCAAGGTGACCTGGAATTTGAGCTGGGCCTCCCAGTAGCTCCGGTACTGTCCAGCAGTGACCTTTCACTCGCACCACAGTGTCTGAGTCCTTTATTATTTATTTACTTATTTTCTTTCTTTTTAAAGAGTTATTTATTTTACTTATTATTATTCAATTTGACCAGACACCCTTTTTTTTTTTGGAGAGGTTTTTGCTATAGGGCGCGTGCGTTCGCCAGAAAGACAGAGAGAGACAGAGAGACAGAAAGTGAGAAATCACCCCCCAGGGGGCATGGCCATACTGCAATCCCTTCTCCTTCATGCTCCTCTCAGGATCTTGGACACACACGCACATGCACCTGGCGTGAGTTTAAGCCACTGGGTCCAGAACTCGAACCACGGTCGACTACATGGGAGTCCAGCAACATGGCCATTATGCCAACTGCTGGTCCCAGCAACTCTTAATAATGCATGAATTCATTTTTATTTTTCTTCATTTATTAAATTCTTACTTTATACAAGTTTTTGTTTGTGTACGATTTTCTTTTAGCTAAATATGGTATTGTCCAAATAACTTTCCAATTATTAAAATCTAAAATGCACAAAGTTTAGATTTATTTAGATGGAAACTCCTGTTTTATAAGTACCAGGTAGAATTTATGCTGTTTTTAAATTTGCAAATATCTCCTTGCCACCCTTTATCAGACAGTACCTATTGGCTTCCTTTAAAAGGTTTCTGTTAGTGGAACTAGCTTTCTCAGTGTAACATGAACTGAACATTTGTATGGTACGAAGATGACAAAGCCATCTATTGGCATATGAAGTTCTTTTGACACATTCTTTCTTGTTGTTTTTGATGCCACTTTCATAAAATTATTATATTTCCTGGGTGAATTTCAGTATACACTGGAAAGCAAATTTCTTTTCAATAAAGTTTTGAATAAAACTTAGGTTTAAAACCTCACTCTGTATGACTGTATTTTTCACCCAAGGTTCTAGATCTCAAAACTAACATAATGCATTCATTAATTACAGTAACTATTTTTATTATTTTTTAATCTTTAATTTTTTTGCTATTAACTTTTAAGAAATATTCAAATCACAAAATTATCCTTTAAAAAAACCCTTAAAATAGATGAAAGTAGTAACCAAAGCTCTGCGTGACTATCGGACACCCTGTCCCCCACTATGTGGATAAACTGGGGTAGGGAGCCCAGTCTATGAGTGGTTCTTGGGCCACTGCTTCCTTTACCTCTGGAAATACCACGATACCCTTGGGGATCCGCTCTGCTACTTGTCAGGACAGGGACCAGCCCAGTGTGACCATGGCCTGAAAGCGCCCAGGCACCAAGGTGTCCACCTCCAGGAGTGGTCCGAGGAGTGACCTACCCCCTCCGCAGGAGACTGAGCACTCGGAGCGCACAATGGCCCAGGCGTAGCTGGGCTGGGCAATGGGCTTCTTCTTAGTCCCCAACCGAGGCATCGAATATTCCCAGGCAACACCTGGATTCCTTCCCTGAAACAGAAGCTACGAAATAGGAAAGAAGAAAAATAACGTAAGTCAATGTGAAATCGATAAATCTGTGCTAATTCACTTTAAACTTACGACAGCGATATCAACAAAAAGTTGGTTATGAGGCTGGACCGCATTGCCATGATAAAGCCCCATGCTCCATGAGGCTAACCCAAACGGGAAGGTTCTAAGTTTGCATCTGGAGATTTCCCTGAGCACTCTGGGCACGTGCATGCCCCGACCCAGGACTGCTGAGGCTAGATCATGGTATCAAGAGTCTTTTGGGGTGGCTGTCTCTCTGTCTCCCCCATCTCTCTAGCTCATGGAGAAATCCACTCACTGAACCCAGGGAACCATGTGACAACATAGTTGTGACCATTGATGGGTTAGCGCTACGACTTAGGCTGAGTAGGCAGCCACCGCTCTGGGTTCCCACAGCAACCCTACTTCCACAGGACACAGCAGAAGAATGCTGACCCCATCCAAAATACAGGCACTGACAGTCTCCCCAAGACTGGCTGTTTCTCACAGCCCTTTGAGTTTGCAAGTGAGAAGCACAACTTGTAAAAGTCAACTGATAAGATACAAAATATAAACTCATATAAGTACTAAATACACACAATCATACACCAAAAGTGAAGGACAGTTGAAACAAGTCTGCATATAGATGGGTTACTCTCATTTTTAACAGCTGTATACAGTCTTCTGTGTTCTTGAATTACACCAATAACCATGAAGATGCCCAAGTCTCGGCCCCCAGACCAAGGCTAGTATCTACCTCCACAATCAGTGTTTCATTGGTGGGTCCTGCTGAGGTTAAGCTCTCAGGCTCCTTGTAAGACCTTCTGTAGACAAAGGCAGTGCCAGAAAACTTGTATCGGCCAGGCCAGTCCACCGTCCAGTGTCCATTCAGGTAGTATCTTTTGAGGGCATTGCGCACTGAAATGTAGGAGGTAGAAGTGTTCGTTTCATAGATGCGAATGCTCCGGGCTCCAGAAGGTATAGTCACCATGTGATAATACTCTGGACAAAGAAAATAGGAAAATATGGCATTTTAGTCAATGCCAAGGCAAACTAAATTCCTAAGAAACTGTAGTTCTCCATAACAGAAACTTGAGAACCCACAGGTGGAAATGGGAGAGATCTGTTACTTTAGACCTATAGATAATTTCTTTTTTAGTTGGAGCAGAGATCTTGTAATTTTCACTATTTACTTTTTTTTAAGAATTATTTTATTTAACTTTATTTATTTACTTTTTTTTTTTAATTTGACTAAATAGGGATAGAGTGAGAGAGGGAGAGAGAGAGGAAGTGAGAGAGCAAGCTGCCAGATCTGGGACTCTAACTGTGGTTGGCTATGTGGGAGTTCAGCACCTTAACCATCATGCCACCTGCCGGCCTCAATTATCACTATTTCTAAGGACCATTTAAATTTGAATATCCTAGCAACCACTTTTAGTTAAACAAAGTCTTGAGAGACAAAATATGAGCTGAGGCAGGATATGAGACCTTGGGAGGCCCTTCAGGCCTCTGAACCTGCTGTTCTCCATCACCTCAAGCCCCTCCCACTAGGAAGCCCTGGTCAAAGTCGTCCTCGCTCAGAACTTGCAGGCAGTGTGTAGTACTCACGGTTGGTCTGGTGAAGCTTGGTGTAGAGACCTTTATGAGTCACGCAGGCTGAATTATTTCCCTTGCACACCCCACAGGCATCTTCAGCAGCATCAGATCCAAGGATATTGTCACATCCAACTCTCTGGAGGACCCACGAGGTCACATTTCAGTCATGAATGAAAAGACAACATAAACAATAATGTTACCAATCTTGTGCAAGAAACTTCCTCCCCACTCTAGTTGAGCATGTCACCAACACAGGGCAATTAACAAGTATTTACTGGATACCCAATATGTGCCCAGCGAGACTCATTCTACTCTTTAGATCTGAGTAGGAAGCCTTTAAATGCGGAAAGTAGCTGTCCTTTACAGAGTTGCTACACAGCTGTTGTATCTTGACTCCTACAGTAAACCTCTGGGTTGTCATGGTGGAGATGTGACTAAATTCAGACTGGCATCAGGAGCTTCGTGCAATGACAAGCACCATCTCCACATGAGGGTCACTGAAATAGGCCACTGTGCTTCCGAAATGCTTTCTGCAAGGACAGAGAAGAAACCCGTGGCCATGAGGAAATTCTTCTCAGTTGTAAACTATGTAAAGGGCGTATGTGTTCAATGTTTTGTTTTTTAGGAGCTCTTTATAGTTTATGATGAGTGTTTCTTAAGGAGAATAGACTCCATATGAAAAACAAAACAAAACAAAAAACCCACTCAGAAGGCCAATAACCATGGTCCACACTCCCTTGAAATCTACTCTAGGCCCAGATGCGTTTCAGAACTTGAGTGTTTTGTATTTTGGAAGGTAACTCATATAATATCCGTGGGAGTCCTCGTAGGGCCCAGGGCCCCATAGTAAACACACTAGTGGTTTTCTAGCCAATTGTTCATAGTTGCACCAAGAGGAATAATAAAAAACTACTCAATAGTCTCACGTTGGCTCAGGATTTACCACTACATAAATACAGGTCCTAAAACCCTTTCACAAACTTTTGGATTTCAGAGTTACAAAAAAGATATTGTGACATCATTAAGAATACCTAAACATAATAATATAAGTCACTTAAAATTGAGACAAAAATTGAGCAATCTACAGCTGGAAAGATCTTAACAAAGTCATCTGGCCTAACCTTTATGCATTAAAAATGATCACGCTAAGAATCTCAGTGGACGGCTCGACTTTGGTCACACAACTTAGAGGAAGATAGGGCTGACCTGTGGTGTTTGGACCCCACAGAACATGCATCCTCATTAAAAAAAACAAAGAACAAACAAACAAACAAAAAATAACACACTGTCTACATGCAGTGCATCTTCATGCTGTTTGGTACACATTTATTTCCACCTTTCACCTCTGCACATTGCTCTTCGTCAACCTATCTTGTACACCCCTTCCTACAAGCCCTGCCCCATGGAAGTCCAGTCTGTAGGATTGGGCAGAGACCACTGCTGGAGCTGTGCACAGCATCTAGGCTCTCAGCTGCCCCATCCCTGTCTTTGTTGACTCTCTACTACCACTGCCTAGAATCTGCAATCTAATCTTGTGGCTCTTTGCTGCAAACTCAATACCTGTTCTACGTGGACACAGAAATAAAACCCCAGTTTCCCAACCTGGCAATGGAGGACCCTGTAAGAACCTCCTCTCAGCCCACTGGCCTCCCTCAGATCTCTGCGCACTGTCCAGGTTCTGACTGCTG